ATAATGAAGGAAATGGATCGGAAAAGAACTTGTCACCTGAACCTTGTAGTCCTCTAGCTGCTCAAGATTCTGGATCAGATGGTGAAGTTGGAGGCCTTCTTCCTAGTACCAAGAGGCTGAAGAGGCGTAGGATTGTGCAGGAGTCTGATGAAGAAGAATAGATAGAACGACTGGCATGCCTGCTACCTGGAAACCGGAATATTTGAAAGTAGCATTTCAAATTTCTTAGTTGTCAAAGAAAGGTGCTACCTCTGGTATATTCTACTTGATGAGTAACTGTGCCAAGACCCTTGAAATGGTGAAGAAAGAAAGGAAGATTGATTATAAATATTTATATATTTACGCTGTAAATATACATCACAATTCCTTCCATTGCACTACTAATATAAAGTAAGGGTTTCTACAAACTTCTCACGCTATAAAGATCTTGTTCTTATTGTTTTGGGTTTTGATTATAAATAGAATCTGAGTTTTAATTTTTTTAATTAGTCATTTTATAGATCGAAACTTATAGTTTTTTAGTTGCATTAAACATTTGGTGTATGACTCGAAGAATAGAGTTCAAGTTAATGGTTATTTCACAAAAATTATTTTTAATTTTTAAGTTATTATCTTATAATTTTTTAATTTTTTTTAAAAATTTAATTTATATAATGTTGAATTTCTATACAATCTTCATCTGTAAAATTTCTGATATGATAATATTGTAGCGTCCGGGGAAATTTAAGAAGAAGGAAAAAGGAAAAAAAAAAAAAAAAAAAAAACGCGTGTGCCACGTCAGCAGACCCAGTCAGCAGTCCTGGCCAACCAGGACCTACCACGTGGCAAAACCATGTCGACCGGGGACGGGCCACGTTGGCGATCCGCGTGCGCGCGATCGGACGGCCCAGATTAAATCAAAATGGACGGTTGAGATCAAAAGTAAAAAGGGTATAAATAAGAACCCCCACACCAGACCCCAAACCTTAGCCGCCTGCCCTTGCCGGAGAAGACGAACCAGAAGCCGGCCGCCGCCACCCGCCGCCGCACCGGAGGAATTTCCGACCGCCGATCGAGGTAAATTTCATACCCCCGACTCGTTTTTCCACGCTGATTTCCCCAGTGGCCAAATCGGAGCCAAAATCCCGGCCAAACGGCCGGAAAACACGGCCGAAAGCCAGCGGCGCCGCCGCGCCCCTCCTCGGTTTTTGCCTCCGATGAGGCCCTTCCCGGCCTCCGTTTAATGCAATTTTTATACCACCGTGATCACCATTCTTTTCTCTACAGGTTGATCGGAGCTGAATCACCAAAACACGAACTTCACCAGAGAGCCGCCGCACCTGAGAGCACCGCCGCCGGTAAGCTTTGGTTTTCCGTAAATTTTCGGCCCCCCGAGGGCCGTAGGGTTATTTTATCGCAGGAACCAATGCGAGTGTGGCCGAATTCGGTCGGAAACGGCCGAAAACGGCCAACCCGAGGCGAACCGCCGCCGCAAGCGGCGGTGCCGTCGCTGGAGCACGGCGGAGCCGCCGTGCCGGAGTTGCGATATTGGCCGAAAGGGGCCCTGGGCCTAATTTGAGATTTTTTTGGAACACGTGCAGGTACCAGTAGTGCGTTTCAGTTCCCCGGGAAAAATTCAGGGAAAATTAGGGACAGCCTGCAAGCGCATTGTGAAGCCGTGTTCGGACCCCGAAACGAGTAAGGACCCCTCACCCTATTTCCTATCACGGTTTTAAAGTTCAATAAATGATAAAACGGTATTTCATGAATCAACGAATGTGTGAAATTGCTTAAGGTCGCTAATGGAGCCCGAGTCTAGCGTGTTTGTCGGTTAACTGTTATTTGGCCTGTTTTACAGTTTTAAATGCAGTATGAGGTTTGACGTTTTCATTTTATAGTTTCGTGTGCATATTGTACTGTTTTATTGATTATGGATTGAATGACTGGGATATTGATGCTGTATGTTGTCTGTTTGGCATAAATTACTGTTTTGCTTGTTTGTATGTGGATTAATGATGCTGACTGAGGAAAAAGAGAATGAAAAAATTATGTAAATGGGTAATTGTATAATGTGGTCAGCCTTACTAGATATCATGAGAGATGGTGGACGGACCGGGTCCGTAGGGAACCCTACCGGGATTGTGGTCTCCCATACCGGACGGGGTATGGAGATCTTATGTGTTTTGGCGCCCATACCGGACGGGGTAATGAGGTTTATAGTTTTGGCGCCCATACCGGACGGGGTATGGGGACGGCCCTGGAATCAGGTTGTAACGTTAAGGGTTAACGGGTAGCGGGACTCCTATGGATTCCCATGGATACTAGTGGGCTGGTAAATGAGGAAAATATGTTGTGTAACGATTGAATTACGAAAAGCTTGATAGGTATTATGTTATACAGTTTATATATATGGTTTCATGATGATGATGATGTTATTGCTTTCGTATATTGTTTTATAAATTTCACCGAGGTAAGTGAATGGTAAAGGTTTTATTATTGATAAAAGTAGTTGTTGTAAATTATGCTCAATTGGTCTTTTTGTGTTTTCTACCTACCTTTACCTCCGTGACGGTGAGATATCGTGATGTCTTTACTGGGCTAGTGTAACTCATTCCTTATTTAATTATTTCATATCAAGAGGACATCGTTCCCGAGCCGGTTCCGCAGGAGTACGACGAAGGGGACGCCTAAAGACTCCATAGTCACATTCGTACCTTTTACTTTCAAGTTTCTCCTTTAGTTAGTTTGATCTTTTATATTTTGCGAGCACGTTTTTGGTTTTAGTGTAAGGGATGTTATTCAAATTTTGACTTCGCTTCCGCATTTGATATTTTTAATATACATTTCATTTTGAATTTCCGGGACTGTTACAAATATTTTCTGAAAAAATCAATAAATTCGTATAAAATAATTAAAAAAAACTTAACTATAAACAGTGATTTATTAGAAAAAAAAAACACAATTCAAAATACAACAAAAATCAAATCTCATAATTCAAATTATAATTTGCTCTTAGTTCGATGAACATTTCCTCTCCGTGATGTTGATTTTTTTGGTGTGAGATGGTCGTAATATATGTAATATACAGATATATATATATATGTATGTAATTAAGTAGTTGATTTTATTTTATTAATTGGGTTAATTTTTTATTTTAACTATAATGAAAACAGTTACTTCCATGAAGGAACGACGCCGTTTTTATACGTTTTCATAAACCAAACGCAACGACGCCGTTTTCAGTTGTTTCCAGATGTATACACACACATGTATAAATGTACGCAGTAAAACTGTGAGAGTCATTTAAAATGTTGAAATATTTTTATGGTTAAAAAAGTAATTTTCTATTAAATAATTAAAATCCGAGAGAGGTGACTGGTGAGCAAAGGCAGTGTGCACTTTTTCTTGGGTTCTTCTGTCCTGTTTCTCTGCTCTCTCTATTCTGGTTTTCCGAAGAAGTAGAACACATTTTCTCAGCAAAGAAGAAAGAAATGAGTGAAGAGGCCACCAAAAGAAGCTTAACCAGTGCTCTAATGGTGAAACCCAAGGCTGATGACCGGAAATCTTCTCCGGCACCTCCTTCCACGGTCGCACCCCCTGGCAAACGAGTCATTATCAAGAGCGCCGACATGAAAGATGACATGCAGAAAGAAGCTGTCGATATTGCCATCGCCGTACCTCTCTCACTATATTATCAATCCTTCTGTGGCTATATATTTGGATTTGATTGTCTCACGTCTTTTTTTTTTAGTTTATCCCTAAAATTTCGGGGTTTTGGGTTTTGATCTTTGGTTTTCTGAAGATACTATGACTATCTAATTTTGAATTTCATTTTCTCTGTTCTCAAAAAACTTATTAGGCATTCGAGAAGCACAGTGTGGAGAAGGATGTTGCGGAGCATATAAAGAAAGAGTTCGATAAGAAGCACGGACCTACTTGGCATTGCATTGTTGGTCGCAATTTCGGTAACTTCCCGTTTCGTCTTCTTTCCTTTTTCTCGGTTACTCTTCTGGATTTACTTATGTAGATTTGATATCGCTGTAGTGTATTGGATACTACCTGGTTTTTTGTTCGGTACTTCTTTATTCATTCATTTTGGGTTCCTTAGCTTGTGGAGGAGTAGCAATCTTCTTTAGTCGAATTTCTACAGATCTGGACTTGAACTTAGCACTCTCCTCGTTCTAGATGTTTCTTAATTTTGTCTTCCCCCCTTTCTCCCTTAGCGCTTTAATCAAATTCTTAAATGGGCTAGTAATTTGATTGATCTTTCTGTTTACTTATATCGTGCTGAATTCAATGGAAGGAGATTTTCATTTTTTTTCAGCATAGAGAGGCTTTCCAAGTTATGTCTGGGAATATTGTCATTGCTTGTTCTGTATATTTTGCATAGTACCTAATTTTAATTAATGAAGAAAGTGAAAGAGACTTGGGAAAACAGTGAGGTCAGTAGCTGTATATGTTATGAGTGACTCTCAAGTGATCTTAAGCGTATGACAGTGAACTGGTAGATTATAATTGTTTTTGTTTCTTCCCCTAGTCATAATGGCTTTGATTGATTATTGAAAGTGGTAGTATGTATTCTTGTGACCTGGCCTAACATATAGAAAGCCTTAAAAGAGAAGGTTGTATTAATTTGATTGTTATGATAACAGTTGGTTTTATGCTATCACCATCTTGTTGGAGACGGAATCAATGAAATTGTAGTCCTTACTTAGCAACGGCATGGAAGGTTAGGCATTTGGTTGCATTTGTTACAAGTAAGCAAAAATTAATAGCTGATTGCATACTGGTTGATCAGGTTTATGAAACCTAGCTGCGTGGCACCACTAGAGTTTCCTGTGTGACATTGGATGCTTGCTTATTCCATCCAGTACTTTGGCTGGTTATCTGGTGCCTTTTGGATGTTGCTAGATCACAATTGAATGCATATAGGAAATTTCGTGGATCATAATTTTATATGATTGGATAATATTTGAATTTTAACTAATAAAGAAATAATTTAAATTCTAGAGGATCCTTTGTGGTTGGATATAGTTAGTATAGATATTTGGTTTGATTTCAATTAAAAACATGATTGTTGGTAATAATATATATAAATCCCATTCTTATTTCAATATATATATATATATGTATATGTAAACCCCATTCTCCCGGAAGTTTAAATGGACTGTTTATAATCTTGTACAGAGAAAGTGTGTTAATGAAGTAGATTGTGAATGGCATCTTGGTCGATAGTCATTTAAACTTCAGTTCTAAGAAATAAAAATGAGAATACAATTCAAGTAAGACAAAATATGAATGAAAATAGAATTTTTTTTTATGTCAATTCTATGATCAATTCAAGTGAAGTGTTTTGCGATTCTTCTATTGACAAGTGGAGATAGAAATTTATCAATATAAAATTGAAGATTTGAAGGGATTTAGTTTAATGATGCATCAAATATGTAAGTTATAATTAAATTCTATATCGTAAATAATTCAGATCTAGGATTAGAATATGTTTGAACCAAACACAAAACAACTGTTGGCTTTCGTTCTACTTGAGGAAAATTATATTGCTGATGCATTAATTACGAAAAATTAATGCTAAGGTCTCTGAATAGATTAATATTTTTGACATAGCTTGAGATCAAGATTTGGAATTTAATACACAAGGTATTAGTATTTTTGAAAATTGTTCAAATTTCTTATAATTAGCTAGGGTTTTGCCTGCTAAAACTTAAAGAAATTTTAAATCCTAGTCTATTCCTGTTTACAGTTTCCTTTTTGAGGGAGAAATTTTTTTTGAGAGGAACAACATTATTTTCTTTTTCTTCTTAATAACAAAGAAGCATTCGTAATGATTGTGGGCTTAAAGATGATCCAGTGTGTCTTTATATTTTACTTGATTTTGCTGTCGGCTAATTCTGAAAACCGTCATCCATGCCTAAGGGCTCATTTTGGTTTAGGTCATGAGATATCATTGGGAATCAATATATTACAAAAAATCTAGATTTTGTTAGGAATGTGATCAGATTACTAAAAATCAAAATCATAAGGAATTTGAATACTAGGAGTATATAGTTATTGTATTTGGCTGAGCTGTTAAAATTATCAGTACTCAAGTAATGTATTTGATTTTTGAAAAATATTATTTGGAACTAGAAGTATATTTTGCATGTTACATCTAGATGAAATTTATACATGAAACATATATTTATGATTTTACTTTGGAGTTATAGATGTCCAGTTAAACAAAATCAGAACACCACTCTTGTAATCCCTTGAGATGGTAAGTTTGTTATCCTATAATCTGAACTTATACTTTAACCAAGCGTGAATGTATCTAAATTTGAAGGTTTTTACTTGGGAGGTAGCATGGGCCAGTCCGGTGAGTGACTAATGAGAGATAGGCTCACAGCTGAAGTTTGAATGTACAAAGATTCTTGAGCCTACACAGGATTAAGCAATGGCATCTTCAATGGAAAGATTCCTATTGGTGATTTGATTATAATTGGCAATCAAAAGTTAAAATAACATGAAATTATTATTTAAATCTAGGTATTTAGGTAAGCACTTTACCCAAAAAAAAAAAAAAAGAGAATGTTTATGAGAAGAAAACTTTTTTACTCAACACAGTTTGTGTAGCACATATCTGTCTGTTTGCCCTTTCATAGACCAGGTGAGTTTGGCTTAATGTTATACATCAAGTTGAGCAGAGAAATTCATCAGAATCTATGACTTGTCTTTTTTTTCTATTTCATAATTAATGTGATCAGCTTCAGGTTCATGCAATGTGTGCATCGTCTTATGTTTGCAGCTAACCATTCATTAAGAGTGTACACCGCTTCCTGGCATTAGACAAAAACGAGCCTATCTTGAAGGAAAAGTTTCAATTTTTCTGGCTGGATGAAATCTAATGCTATCTATTCCCTTTCTTTTCTGTTCTTGACCAATATAATACAGAATCTCTCTGCTTTCCTTGTATCAAAAGAAGATAAAACTGCACTTTTGACTCTTTTTTGAAGGTGTACTAACAGTCTCTTTTGTAAATGTTTGGTACAGGTTCGTATGTAACTCATGAGACAAACCACTTCGTTTATTTCTATTTGGAGCAGAAAGCGGTTCTGCTATTCAAATCTGGTTAGCCATGATTGTATCTTATAGCTAATGCCTGTGTGTATTAAATTAAAATGCTGGCATGTTAAACTTTTCCCCATCCTTTCAGAACTCTCCTGTGCCTAAATTGTATATTTCCTTTCACTTCTTTAATGGGTTTTGAACTTCTAATGAATGTGAATTTCAGTCTTTCATGACTTAGAGATTCAGTTTTTAGCTACTATTGGTTTTCAGAGAATGTGAAGCAAAGCTCTCAGTGCAGGGTTTTCTTGGACGTATATCTATTAGTATGTTCATTATGAGAAAGTTGTTTGGCTTACAAGTACGGGCTGATATAATACTGAGATTTTTATTTTTAAAAAAGGTTAAAGAAGATATTTGCTGGTGTTGGGGAGCAAAGCGGTGACAGAGATAGCGTTCTCCGCAACACATAAGTTAATTAAAAAGCAAAATATTAAAGGTGAAAGACCTAACTGCCCCTTTTCATATATATATATATATATATGTATATGAAATTTTTTTGTATTTTCTTAAAAAATTGTTTATATGGATTTTTAGTATTTTATAATCACATAACTCTCAAGCGATATATACTTTTTTTTATTTTATTTTGAGAATTATATATATTAAATTATTATTTTACATGTATCAGAAATTATACTTAAATATATTTCATAAACACTAAAATATTATTTCTTAAAAACCATATATTCAATTATTCTTTATATTCAAATCTTACACTATGGAGTGAAAGGAAAAAAAAAATTGATAGAACACATGATAATTTCACTTTTTAAAATTAAAAAAATAATAATAATTAGTCTAAAAAAATAGAGGGAAAATAAGGATCTCTCTTAATTTTTTTTTTTTTTAATTCCTCCAATTGAAGAGGAAAACAGGAAAAAGAAATTACTTTAAAATTTTAAAAGGAAAATTTCTATTACCCGTTTAAAAAATATTATAGTAATATTTTTGTTTACTTTCATTTTCAATTTTAGTTATATCTCAAAAAGATACTTTTCATTTTCTTTTTCCATTTTTTAAATTTTCTCTATTAGTATTTACCATTTTTTTTTTGGTGGGGTGTGATTATATGTATATATGTGTGTGTGTGTGTGTGAAGATTAAAAAGTTTGTTTGAATTTCTGGTCGTATGAGTACAATTAAATGAGGAAATCTAGTGGGTAATAAAATATTCTTTTCGTTTAAAAACATAATAAATTCATTACTTAAACTGAATTTGATACATTATATCCTCATTAATGAGTTATGTGTTTTCAGCTCAACTCAAATATAAATTATAAGTTGATTATCGGTTTATGATATATTTATAAAATAATAAATTTAATAAAGTAAAAATAATTATGATTTAATAAATATATATATGTATATTCATCAAGGAAATTATGATATATATATATATATATATATATAGGGAAAAGAAGAGTGAGTGGCAAAGTCTATTTATTCGACATTGCTACTCTTTTGTAGCTTTCCATTTTCAATTCAAAATCTGCCTTGGGGGGGCACATTGGAAAGTAAGATTCTACTGTCCTCCCTATGCTTTTTTTCTTCTGTCTTTTTTGCCTAACTCTTAACTCCAATATTATTCTTTTCTTTTCTTCTTCTTCTTTTCTTTTTACCATTAAAAAAATATATATATATAGTCTGCCATTCTCCCTTTCTTTTTTTTTCCATATTATAATCTGAAACTGCTACTTGTTTAATTATTATTATTATTATTATTAATTTTTTCTTTACCTTATCAGATTCTACTATGGCCCCTCCCAGCTATTCGTAACATATATATATATATATATATGTATATATATTATAAAAAAAATTAAAATATATGGTTCTTTATAATATGGTATACTTATTAAATTGAATTTTATTTTTTTATATTATTTTACTATAATTTATTGCAATTTTCAGTCTAACATATTTCCATTAGTTTTCAAATATTATGTCAATAAACTAAAAACATTTTATATTTAAAATAATAAAATATAATTTTTTAATAAAAATTTATTAATTAAGTAATACATCCACACAATTATAATGTAACTTTAAAATACAGTTTCTCTCAAATTTATAATTTCTTGTGATAAAATATTTAAAAAAAATTATAAATTTGGAGATAAATCTGTTGTAAAAATCGTGAAAAGATATATTACGAGGCATCTTGTAATAATTTTTTAATATTCTATAATAATTATTAATTATTAAAATCGTATCATTTGCCTTGTCCAATTAGGATTTGGATATTCCTTCCAATTTTAAAACAGTGGGCAGACACCCATTAAATAAATTAAACCGTACCTCTACCTACAAAAATCAATTACTACTCCCTTCACATTATACATATATATATATATATATATACACAGTCATTACATTATTAATTATTTTAAAATTTTATTTATTTTCCTGAAAACAAATACCGTGGGCTTAAGAAAAAGGCAAGAGAAAATAGGAGCTTTTGGGTAAAATTTAATCAACGTTGTAGATAGATTTTAACTTTTATCTAAATTGTTTATTTAGTTGGAAAGTCAAATGTTTGAATTGATATTTATCTCTTTAACAAATTTTACAAACAGTAAATTTTCCTACCCAAACCACCACATGACTTTTTAAAATAAAAATATATTATTGTAATCCGAAAAATAATTTTGTTCTCTTTATACGAGTATTATAAAAATTATTATAGTATATTCCAATTATAAAATTGATTTATAAGCATAAATTTTTAAACTGTCTGACGTCAATATTTTTACAAAAATCATTTTAAAAAATCATAATATAGAATTTATATTTGGTGTTGTGAAGATTTTCTCTTCTCACTTTCCCTAAAATGCATATTAGATTACAATATTTAACAAATATATTACATTTATATATGTTGTAATTATTAAATTAAATTAAATTTTAATAAATTTATTATATTTTTATTCAAAATAATGTTTCATGATGAATAAAAATTTCTTCAAGAATTAAAAATTCAAAAATTAATACACTTAAACAATTAAAATATTCATATTTAAAATTAATATTATAAACACCAACTTACAGTCCAATACAAATACCAGTTTGTTTCTCCCAATAAAATGTTAACTCTTACGACGCTTAGAATCTTGAATCTTATATATATATATATATATATTTTTTTTTAACATCAAGGGTTTCTAATATTTTTCTTGGAAGAAAGTAAAATACAATAAAGAACAAATGTATGATTAAATTACCATAATACCCTTCCAAAATTCTCCCAAAACCAAGAGTGAAAAAGAAATGTGCAGAGAGCATAATAAAAGGGAGCCAAACCATGGGCTGAGCTTCCAGATATATGTGGGGGCTAAAAAGCCAAAACGCACTTTTGGCTTCATACCATGAAGCAAAACGACATCCCACGTTCTGTTCTTATCGTTACAAAATTACCCCAAGGGTAAAACTGTAATACTACAATCTTCTTCTTCTTCTCCTTCTCCTATTGTCTCTTTTTTTTTTTTTTTTTCTCATATTATTAAAAAAAGAAAAAAATTAACATTTTCAGTAAGCAAAACCACCCATTCGGTTTCTGGCTCCTTTGCGGTGGTGATGAGAATTACCAGACGAAGACGAGGAAGAAGAAGAAGATGAAGATGACGATGATGTTTGTCTAGGTTTCATGGCAGCCAACGAACAGTTTTCCTTCTTAAGACTTTCTTCTTCGTCCATGAAAATCTGTCTGCACCTGCACTCCACGCTACAAAAACCCTTGTCTCCTCTGCACAAACACATACACATACATATAAGAAAATAAAAATCAAAACTTTAGAGTTCAACAGAAAGACTCATTAAATATCTGAACAAAAAACGAAGAGAAAAGACGAGGGTTTGCTGTAAAAAGCACGAAAAGAAAGCATACAAGGTAAGATCTGGCTTACTTACTTGTACATGTAGATGTCTTTCCCTGGTAAAAGCTTCTGTTTGCAGAGAAAACATTGATCTAGAAAAGGAGGAGGAGAAGAAAAAAAGGAAGGAGAAAGATTTCTGGGGGAAGAGAACGAAGAAAACGATTTGTTGCTACTGTTGTTGTTGCTAGTAATCAACATAGTTTTGTTGATAACTTGCAGAGATTTCTTCTCAACACCCCCGCGGTTACTTCCGCCGTTAACGCCGCCGATCTTTTGGGTCTCCAGAACTACACTCAAACCCACCATATCTCATTCTTCTGTACTCTGTTTTTCGTTTGGTTATGGAGAGGAGAGGAGAGGAGAGGAGGGGAGAGTGATAATGGTGGAGGTGATAGAGAAGAGGAAGAGGGAAATAAATAAGCAGAGAGAAAGAGAGGAGTGGGTCCCAGAGCTGTAGAATGCAGTAAAAAAAAAGGACGATGAGCGTCGCGGAAGATTTGACTTCTTATGCATTTAACTGCCACGTATCATCTTTAGTTTCCATTTCATTTTCTTTTTTTACTTTTCCTTGTTTTTTCTCCTCTGCTTATTATACGTCGTCGTTTTAGTTTCCATACATACATATATTCTTTTTTTTTTTTTTTTAATAAAGATTACGTATGCAGCGAGTTTGGATTTACCCTAAGTTTTAAGTTCACCAGCTTAAACGTGGTCATATTAACTAACAGTAATTAATTTATATATTAAAATTTAATTTATTTATGAATTACAGAGATAATAATTAAATTAAATTTCATTCCAACCAGAGTTACGATATATATAAAAGAATACTTGGCGGTTATTATATTTTATTAATTAAGATAATTATATTAAATAAAAAAGTTTAGATGAAATAATGGATATTTTTACTGTATATTTTATTAATTAAAGCTGTAACTATTTATTAGGTTTAATTATATTTTACTATTATTTTAATTACTATCCGTATAGTTTTTTGTCTGTATTATTTTAATTACTGTCCGTATAGTTTGTCAGTGATAATTGAGTATCAAAATGTTCAAATAACTTCAACTTTTCATATAAAATGAAATTCAACCTCTATATTTCTTATATATATATATATATATATACACATACATGTATGTGTAAATATATATATATATATATATGTATGTATGTTATTAATGTAATAGAAGGAAGGGTAATGTTAATGCATCCGGAACAGTAGACATGATACTAGAAAATTGCATTTAATTGTTTGTATTATATGGGTGAGAGAATATTTTTGAAGGCGACAAAAGTGCACACTGATTTGTGGTTTCTCCCTAAAATTTTAATCTATTGGCTGACACAATTATACATATAAAATATTAGTATATATATATATATATAAAAGAAAAACTTGAACTCATTATTTTTTATAATAATATAAAAAAAATAATATTTTTATGTTTATTTTAGTTACTACATAAATATAATCTTTTTTTAAAATTAAAATCTTTAATTCATTATTTTAGTCTAATGAAAAAATATTTATTTCGCCAACAAATTTAATAGATTCGTCGGGATTTAATCTAATTTGATCAGTAAACAAGTAAATTAAGTTTTTGGTCTTACTGAATCAAATATAATATGTTGAGTATCATTATTTTATGATATACTCATAAAATGACGAATTTTACATTCTTAAGTAAAATATAAGATCTTAACTACTAAGTCATCATGTTATTATTTTTAATTTCTAATGATTTAATTTGCGTGTATAATTAATTAATTATAATTTATGTATAGTGTTAAATTAATTAATTCTATCCATATTATCAATTTCATAATATATAGTGTATTTGTATTTTTATTTTAGAAATAAGAAAATTAAAACAACTTAATTTACATTGGATATAGAATTAACTTGAAAGCAAAGTAAAAATTTTATCCAAATTCTTATCACGTTTATATTGTATTCCTATTTATATCACATATAACTAAAATTTAAAGTAAAATTCATAAGAGAAAATCATGTACATGTGTCACTTAAATGTGTCCCAATCACATTTGAGAAGACAATAAAGTTCTTTATTTTATAAGTATATTATAGTTTAAAAGTGACCGATTTATAATATTTGATTCAGTGAGACAAATGATTTATCTCATTGGTATATTGATGAAAGTACAATGACTAAATTGGCTGAATCTCAATAAGTCTATTATGTTTCTAAGCGAAAGTGATATCTAGTAACAGTTAAATTCCTTTAGTTAAAATGATTAC